TGTACAGAGATGTTGCAGTCTTTTTTTGGCATTTTGGTAAGAGATATGGCATTTACTTGTACTTTTTGGTGCCATTTTTCTTTTATAACTAAGAATCTTTTATGATATTAATGTATTTATGTTATATGTTCATGTGCTTGATGTGATATTATGGGCCCCTTTTTAGCGTTTTAATACAGACCCTTTTGACATTTATTGCTGTAAAACATAATTTAGTTGAATGATTGAATTTGTTGATAATCTTCATATTTGAACAATAAACTTCCTAGAAAGTTGTCTAGACATTTGGATGTTTCATACTGATGTTGAAGTATAGTTCATGAAGTTTCTTTTTGAATGTTGATGTTGAACATATGCTAACACTTTAAAAAGAATTGAGTTCATTTAGCGGCTTTGTGATTTTTTTTACTGCTAATTTTTTGTGTATCTATGTGGGCATCAGCTAATTTATAAAAATTGATGAAACTTATGACTAAAAAGTTGATGTTTTTCAGGAAAGTTTTGTCAAACATATTCTCCCGAATCATATCCTTCTCCCTCCTTCGATTTCTCTACAAAAACTCTGAACAAATCCATCATCCATTCCCTTCTAACGTGAACAAATCCATTTATCTACTGTGTTGAGAGAATTTCCATCATGCATATTTTTTCAAGAATACCAATATTTCCTATAATTCGAGTAGAAACAATGTTGTACATAGATATGGTGAATGATTTGTAAATTTAACATTATGTCATATTCATTGAAGTTATATAATTGCAAAAGATAATAGTAGTTAATTATATAATTAAGAGAAAAATAATAATTCTGGGTGATCCCTAAGCAGGAAAAAATACATAATGGAGATTGTTTAATTGGTTCCTTTCCTTGCATAAATGCATCTTTTTGTGTTGGATTCTTGTTTCTAATGAGATAACAAGTCAGATAGCATGTTCTGTTACACCCCATTTTCCTACAAATTTAAAAGTCAAGATTTTATTTCAATGTCAAAGGTAGAATTGTCAAAGTCATAGTCAAAATGGGACTGATATGAGGCAAATTATTTTGTTGGGGTTTATTTTGCAATGGATATTAATTGAG